AATATGAATATATAATTTTATATATTATATAAAAATGGGAATGGAGAAATAAAAATCAAGAGTCAAGTTATTAATCAAGAATTGTAACTATGAAGAGTATAACCACAGTTTCAAGCCAATATAGGCTGGATCACCAACTAAACAACAACAGAAGGGAACCCATTTTTTACCGTATTAGCAGATAATGCCTGGGACTCTCTCAGAGAATACAGGATTTCACACCAGCTCGTTCTACTTACTGGTGTGATCTATCATTCTAGCTATGCTTTTGGTTTACAGAATTTTCCATACAGTTTTACTGTTTACAATGTTTATGAATCTGTTCAATATGCTCTGCCCTAAAAGTGAAATTTAGCAACGTTTTTATCATATTTAATACTAAAATTTACAAAATTACTTACCCTATTGGTCTTGAAACGACAAGCTCCACTTGTGGCTCAGGTTTGGATTCTAGAATGATGTTATACACCTCCTCAAAGGTGGCTCCTTGTAGTAGCCTTCCATTCCATTCTAATACTTCATCACCTATAATGTCAGTAATAATACTCTGCTTAGGATATCTGCTGTGAACTGTACTTACAATGAAAGTTTAAGCCCTTCTACTGTCAGTTTACTGAATTGTGAAACCTGTGTTATAGAACAAGTTTGGAGTCTTCATACAGGAAAATCCTAAGTATTAAAGGTTTTCTGCAGCTCAGCTTCAAATATGTAAAGTTCAGTGAAACAATAATATCATCAGTAGGACTCCTATTGAATTACATATAGCTCTTACTCGCTTTGGCAGCTGTGGCTTACAGAAATCCCAACACGCTCTTTAGAAAATGCAGATCTTTAAAAGAGCATATCTCACCAACTTACTATTTTGAAGATCCATTTACCTCTACAAGTTTAGTATTTAAGGTTCAGATAGTTCTTATGTTAATAGTTAATATTTCTTGCACATTCTCTCTAGCAATCCATGGTTTGCATGTTGGGGTAGAAGCAGTTTCTTAGCTGAGCTGGCTCTGTTCACACATTTGTAATAGCTTGGTTTGCTCTAAATAAAACATACACCACAAAATGACTGGGCAGGACATCAGTGGAATATTATTTTGAGCACAAAAACATGAATAAAAATGTTAAAATATGATTTTGAACAACATAAGAAGTTATATATTTCACAAAAACAGTAACGTCCATAATCCATTAACTGAATGTCAGGTTGAATTCTGCAGTAGTTCATCACACCCATTTAACATAATTTCACATCTAATTAAACTTGCTCACTTGTTATCACCTTCAGAAAAGCAAGTCAGCAGTATAGATCTATAGTAGATACATACCTGGTCTAAGATGCCCCACTGTATCAGCTAAGCTTCCTTTTTTAACTTTGGTGATAAATGCGCAGAGTCGACCTGATTCAGTCATCTTTCCTCCTACTACCTGTTCCAAAGAGGAAGTATTTTCATAGAACGAAAATTACTTCAAATGACTTAAATGTTCTGACAACAGAAAGAAGAATTCAATGATTTCCTTGGCTTTCAGGTAGCCCAGGTAAGACAGATACACTTGAAAAAAACACCACAGAATTTTGGCTATGAGAGGTTATGTTTGTACCTATTCTGGCTATTTGCGTAATTTAAACACAATGCAAATACAGAATGTTAAAGCTTTTAAACTTTAGCAAATATATATATAGTATTTCACTGTATTATAAATTACCACCCAAAAAAAGTAAGGTATTGGTCATTAGACTGCTTACTTCAATATTTTTAAATGGAAAACAGATATGTTAATGTAACAGAACTCATGGTGTTCACACTAAGCATCAAACATCTCAATTAATCAAATTCACTTTGGCTGGGCAAGTCAGAAGAAAATACTTGTCATACTGAAGATTTCTCTACAGGAAACTTCAACAGGTTCGACCTTAATATTTATCTTAGAATCAGGAGTTTCACATATCATAATTGGCTATAACTGCATAATCTTCAAATTCTTAAGGTTTCTTAACAGTCTTCAAACTGGGATTTAAAATTTGTAATATTAAATCCAGTTTAGGTTACTTTCAATAATGCAAATATTTGACAATTCAGGTCAGGAATAACTGCAGAAAATCAGTCTTTTCAGATGTCTATTGAGATTAAAAAGTAGTTACTCTTGAATCTAAACTATTCATGAATCTCAGTGAAGAGTTCATCTTTATAATAGAAGATTTTAGAATTTTAAACATAGACATTTAAACAAAAAGTACTTCCTAGTGGCACTGTTAGTCTCGTCTCTTGCATTTTCTGACATTAAGACAATAACACACATACCAAAAGCTCAACTGGCTTCTCGACTGACTTCAAAATAAAATCATTTATCAATTAAATAAAAAATTCAAAAATTTCCAAAGCATATTAGTATATGTTATATGTAACTACACTGATTTAATCCCTATTTACAGTGTATTACTATAGCCTAATCTGTGTACCCAAAGTGAAGTCAGTGTCATGCTAAATAGAGAATGGAGAATTAGTCAAACTTCTTAATTATTTCTCACAAAAAGGATGTTGTATCAAAATAAATACATGCTTGTTTCTTTTACTGTCTATAATTCATTCTCATTCTTGTACTAGTATTGCTGGAACTACAATCAATAATATCACACAAAAATGAGATCAAGATATGAGCTAGAAATAGCTTCATAATGTGTTCGAAGGGCACTGCATCAGGAAAAAGAAGCAAACATTACTTTGTGATAATATACAATAAATATTAAATAATTTTCTGTCTTGTGTATTTAAAATGTAGCAAATCAATCAGAGGGGAAAAAAATCCAGAAACAGGATCTTCCATTGGCAGACTCTTCTCTGGATTGAAAGGTCACTAACTTCCAGATGTCCCTCCAGATCTTCAAAAGAGATAATTTATTTTTCACATTTCTCCCCTCTTTTGGGGAACAGAAGTTATACCACAGTGCAATGCTCAATACTGAAGAAAGCGGACAGGGCTTGGTTTGCCCAGCAAGGATGCAATTAGTACCTTGCAGAGCAGACATTCTCCGCAAACTTGCAAAAACATGTCTAGTCTTTCAGAAAAATACAACTTTTTGAGCCTGTCATGGACCCTGTAAAATTACTCTTGGTAATTGAATATAAAATGTCTTTATATTGTAATTTTGAGAATGATAAGACATCATAGATATCGGTATGCATATACTATATGAGAATACTTTTATTATAAAGATAGCTAGTTTTACTGAGAGAGTTGTTAGTTCCAAAATTATTTATTACCAACCTTCAATCCAAGCATTGCTCCTGAGTCTCTAGGCACACTTCCATCTTTTAGTCGTTTATTTAACAAAATCCGACCAATGAGACGGTCTCCATCTTTGGATGGTTGCCAAGTTACTGGATGCTATCATATGGTGTTAATGGAAAATACAGTCAAATAGGATTTTAAAGAGAAATATTTCAGTAATACTTTTCATTTCCTGATATATTTTTAGAATTCCATGAAAGTATTATGATTACACTAATATTTAATGTAATAGAATGACAGAAAAATGTGCTGGAAAAAATTTATTTGGCTATATAGTCTACCACAATGTATATCTAATATTTAATAACAGTATCTATTTTACTAATTCAAATTTGTAAATATCTAGAATGATCTTTGCATCCTGATTAGACAGATATAGACAACTATACATAGTTATCTACACACAATGACAATCACACCTGAGTACTGACAAAACAATTGTAGAGGTCTAGTATAAGAGTAATACTGAAAAAGAAGTTTAACTCAAAACAGAAATTTGCTGTAAGACATTTCTTCTTTTTCCACTATTCCAAATATGTCAGTTTTCTCTAAGACTGACAAGATTCTTCAGGGTTTTACTCTCTCTCAGTAGTAAGTATATTAAAAGTTATAGAATACATTAAAAGGTAGAGTCATTACTCTATTTAAATGTATTGTTTCTTTCTTGGAATAATTACTTCACATATGAAGCATAGTTACGGTGAACACTATTATTCCATTACTATACATGGGCACAGTTATACCCGTATATTGGCATAATTAATAAAAATTTAACATTTTATTTTGTGTAATCATAGCACTTTTTCACAGAAAAATACTATTTCATGCTCTATTTCATGCAAAATTAGCAGGCACAGACAAATCTGCTCCCATTACAACTAATAACTCTAAAAAGATTTATAATAATCTCCACCAAACCAAAAGCAAAAATAAAAAATACCAAAGCAGATGGCAAAGCCTTTAATTCTGCACAATACTGCACAAAAATGGCATGGCAACAAAACAAAAGAACAACCATGACAGTGAAAGGGAAAAAAGAAAAACAACTTTTCTGTGCAGAGAGACCCAATTTTCTCCCTTTTTCACCTGGGGTTTAAACTATTAATTTAATTTCAGCCCCAGGAGTTTGAACATAGTAAATCAAATAAGCCAATCAGTAGAATCCTTATTGTTAAGTACTTTATACTTGAAGGTAATACCATGATATGCTATTATGCAACCGTAAGAGCAACATTCCTTTATGCCTTTCCGTTTTTTTCTTAGGCTGCCAAACAGTAAAAGCTGCAAGCATGCAGAGACTTTTCATTTGTTTTTCTTTTCTGCACCTTAAGAAATGCTACATTGTCTCTAGAAACACCCTATCTTTTATTTTATGCACTATTTTAATGAGTGACAGAGAGCAAACAAAGACCAAATGAGCAGGTTAAAATGCAGGCTCCATAATCTCAGTACCTTCTCGCTATGGCTATGTTCCTCGTTTAGAGTTGTGCTACTACACGTATCTACCGCAGAGTCTTTTATCTGAGGCTCAGACCATTCCAAGTCCTCTTCCAAAGAGTGGCCACCAAAGCACACCATTTTCTTTTGCCTCTCGGATAAGGTGTTAGAATCCGACAAAACTGCCTGCTCACTAGTTTTTCTTTTTCCCCTTTGACTGTCCCCTATAGGTGTGGGATAAAAAAAAGGATACAAAAAAGAAAACATGCAAAGGTGTAAATAAAACAAAGGAAATGTGAAATGATAAAGGAATCTAAATGGTAAGGCTCCACATGTCTCACCAAAGACATTGGGGATGCCTCACTGCTATGCCAAGACGTATGGTCCAACCAGTTGTAATCCATGTCTCCTGTGAGAATCAGACAGACAAGATAGTGCAGTAAAGGAAAGGTGAAAGGACAGACAAAGATACAGTAAAATTGTAAAGACTTCTGATTATCCTATCTGATTCGTAACCTCTGCTAGCAGGAGTTGAAAAGTGCTTCCAAGAAAAAGTTAACGCTCCAACAACAGAGTACATGGAATATGAAATACAGTGAGGAAGGAGATACGTTTGTGTGCGTCTATGTGTGCATAAAATTATGTACAGTGTAAAGTATCATTGCTTCAGAGTTTTTAACTGTTCCTATAAAATTACTTACAGTAAATTAAATGAAGAGGCAAATTGTATTGTATTCCTAACAGAATTTTCAGAAAGGAAAGCATTTGAATATGGAATGAGTTTTTATCATAATCTGAAGAAACAGTTTTTTCTTAAGGAACATATTTCTTTGCTTTTCTAATGCAAACTAGTATTTATTCTAATCACATCAATGAAATACTTAAAACAATGGTACCCTATATTCAGCTGTACAATAGATGATGTTCTAAGGAAGGTTAAATGCTCTGTTAAATATGATAGATTGGTAAGAAAAACAAATATAGAAAATACTTTTAGAATAAAAAGCATATTAATTTTACTTGAAATTCACAAGAAATGTCTACTGGTTAAATATTAGGAAGAATTCTAGTAAGTACAGATACCTCACAACTAGGAATAAATGTGTAGGGTTTTGACAAAATATATATATATTTTATAGAATCAGACTTTAACCTGTATGGCAGACACATGGTAGGAAGAAAGGTTTAAAAAACAGTTTTAAAGAAAAGGTCTAAATTAATGCTGCTGTCATAAAACTGGAGAATGACTCACATATTTTAATAAAACATTCTCTTTTACGTAGGTAGTTTAAGTTGTAAATTATGCCCACACATTTTGCATTATTACATTTGTGTCTCTTCTATTTTTTTTTCACCATTGTTACTACATGTTACATGAAAAATATTTTATTACTACATGCTACATAATATTTTGATACTATTGTATGCAGGAAAAAATGTTGACTTTTCTATAGAATTTCATGACTAAAGGAACACTAAACCAAAGTAGTTCCGCTCTTTTTAGTACAGACCACAAACGAAATTTTTCTATTTCCATTACTTCAGATTCTGCTTTGATATTACTCAACCTATTCCTCTGAAACTACATCAATAAGTTGGTGAAATATAACTAATAGGTCTCATCACAGACTTGACACTTCCCTAGAAAAATTTGCAAAGAGGACGTGAAGATACAGCCCCATAAAACTAAGCTACAAAAAGCTAATACATGCTTTAGAAAAGTAAAATATAGTCTCCTCAGAGGGATATTATGTACAATGAGAAATATGATCTTTTTTCACTTGTTTTCTCCTAATATATAGACTTGTATATGCTATTTGGAAAAAAAAATGAAGCCTTATTTTCATTTGAAAGAAGAAAATGTACAGAATGCAAAGATTTTATTTTCAAAAAGTCACTTTGAACTTTACAGAACTTTTGCAGAAATATTGTAGCATATTAAATATAATTTGATTTCATAAAAACAGTGGTAAGGGACCTCATGAAATTATTCTGAAGCTTTAATTCATTTGTATTTTCTAAGTAATAAATGGGCCTGCTGCAAATGTGTTAACTGTGTTTCTTGAACGGAAGGTAACATTTTAAAATGGGAAATTCTCACCAAAACTGCTTTCTCATGACAGTTAACATCTTGACTATATAAAAGTACAGATAAAATTATGGCTATCCTGCTAAAGGGAAAAGAAATATTCTTCTGAAATATAATAACATTTTGCAAAAGGTACTTCTGGCATGGAATTTCCAGTGCTCTGTCTCCAAAGACATTGCTTCAGAGGAACTGAGTGAAATCATCAGTGAGCTCATGAAGATCTAGCCTTTACTGCATAAATATACATTTAGAGATATCCAGAAGATCACAAGAGTTCCGTTCTACATATTGCCTGTTTTACAAATCCTGGTTTTAAAATATATTTGAAAATGGATCTTAAGTGAGGAAAACTCATCTCATTAAGTAATGATGATTTCTCAGCTTTAATTGCATGAACTAAAGGCACTTTAGCCCATCCTGGTTTTTTCCAGCAGTTATTTTCTGTGCCATCAATACAACTGTTGTACCCAAAACCAAAGTCTGACTAAAAAAGTTATACTTTGGTTCCCTATAATCTGGTACCTAATTCTAGGAGCAGAGCATTGAAATAAAATGGACTTTATAAGCAGAACTGTTAAAACTGATCATTCTCACTGATTCTAATTCCTGACTATTTCTGAGAAATGGTGTATTTTCATTGAAATGACTAAATTTAAATGTAGATATCTACCATTAGGCATTAAGAATCTACCACTGCAAATTACTGGCCATTTTTTAAGGTTTTAAAATTCTCAGCAACAATCTCGACTATCACTTGTAATCCAAAAGAAGCCACCAGAAAGGAATCCAGGAATATAGCTATTATTTTCCTGCTGTTCTACAGTGAACATAGCACTTTACCTGTACTTTATGAAACACATCATGGCTTTGCCCGCTTTCCTATTCATGCCTTTTCCCATATCAATTATATAGTTTTGTATGAGCTTGTCAAGAGCAAGGATTCCTATCAAACTGAACTTTCACTTGTGTGTCTACATAGAAAATAACTTCTTAAAAATAGGAAAATAAGTTATTGAAAATTTGAGGCCCCTGAGATGTACTGACCATTGTGCTGGTTTTGGCTGAGATAGAGTTAATTTTCTTCACAGTAGCTAGTATGAGGTTATGTTTTGGATTTGTGCTAAAAACAGTGTTGATAACACAGGGATGTTCTTGTTACTGCTGAGCAGTGCTGACACAGAGTCAAGGCCTTTTCTGCTTCTCACACCACCCCACCAGCAAGTAGGCTGGGGGCGCATAAGAAGTTGGGAGGGGACACATCTGGGACAGCTGACCCCAACTGACCAAAGGGATATCCCACACCATATGATGTCATGCTCAGCATATAAAGCTGGGGGAAGAAGAAGGAAGGGGGGACGTTCAGAGCGATGGTGTTTGTCTTCCCAAGTAACTGTTATGCGTGATGGAGCCCTGCTTCCCTGGAAATGGCTAAACACCTGCCTGCCGATGGTGTGAATGAATTCCTTGTTTTGCTTTGCGTGTGTGTGCGGCTTTTGCTTTACCTATTAAACTGTCTTTATCTCAACCCACGAGTTTTCTCACTTTTACTCTTCTGATTCTCTCCCCCATCCCACCGGGGGGGAGTGAGCGAGCAGCTGTGTGGGGCTTAGTTGCTGGCTGGGGTTAAACCACAACAGCCATATACACATTCCCACTGCAAATGTGCGTATTACCTAATCACCAAAAACGGGTCCAATCTTCACTTGCTACTTGCATGTCCACAATATGTGCATATAGGCATACACTCAAAGACAGAAATTATCTTTACAGTAACTGTATTTTACAGTACAGATGGGCTTTACATATATAAGTTCATCCTATAGGTGTTTATATGAGCAAATGTGGAACAGTGTTGGGCTCTAGCAGTCTGGCATATGCACATCCACACTTGAAACATACACACTGACTTTCAGTTAGAGAAAAAAATTCTGGATCTTTTTTTTTTTTTTTTAATACAGCTATCCAAAATAGCAATCTACATACATTAATGCATACAATAATATGTGATATTATTGATATCACATATTATTTAAGTTATTGAGAGTGACAAATTTTTGAGAGTGGTAACTTAAAATTTAAAAAACTTCCCATTATACAGTAAAAATAAAATACATTGGTTATTTTCCTACTGTAGAACTTGCAATTTCTCTCTACTTTCAGGGGAAAAAAAATTCTCTTAAGTCCTTTTACATCCTGTTAGAGAAATTTTAGAGACAACTCTCAAATAATTGAACCTAGAGACCTCTAATTCTTCTACCCAAACTTTGGATATTTATTGTACAGATCTGTACATCAGAATTAATCAGCCTATGTTCCTTTTACAATCAGTGAAGGGAAGCAGAACTATTTAAGATGTGGTTCATTAGACCTGTTTTAGATGTGTACTTCCAAGTAAAATAAATCATACCTTCATCATACCCAAAATGTCTTATTTCTCCTCTACTTCTTATAAATGAGCTCTCAGTAACTCATTCAGATGGTCATCATCTTTTCATCAGGAGGATCCTACTACCCTAAATTACTATTTTGACACAGCCTCAACTATTTGTTTACATATTCAAGAAAATACCAAAATTATCACAGAGAGAACCCAGGACTCTTCGAGGTCTCATGAAAGGCAAGTTGACTGGATTTATTTTATACAATTATAAATATCAAATATTTCTTTTAATATGTCATTTGAACAGAGGTATCGTATATTCTCTTTTTCATTCTTTAGCTTAGCAGTGGTAATGGAGACTAAAAGGACCTTTGGACCAGTTTCTGTGTTCAATTCTTTAAACATAGGTCCCAGGCTCATCTGCTGGTATAACTGATTTCTGCTTACTAAAAAGGTTTCCTAGAGACCTCTCACCCATGTATTACTATATGGTGCATCCACATACTTTATGTGTCCAAGATTAGACACATTTAGCCCAGCATACCCGAGGCATTAGCACATAGAAATTACTTACATTGTAAAAGATCCAGTTATTTTTCAGCAACAGTTACTCTTTATCAAGTGGTAAGCCCTGAACCTAAACCTGTGCGGAGGAACACATGCAAAGTTGAGCCTGTTGCCAGATTAAAGCACTCACACTTCTTGCTCTACTATTTTCCCCTCTCATTTTCAGTCAAGATGTAAAAAGCTGACTTTCTTTTTAATTTAGTTGCATCTCACAGTGACTACCAATTATTCTAAAATTAAAATAAGAAAATAAGCAACAACTCCATCCAAAGACTCTTTTGTTCATATCTGTATTCTTTTTCCCATTAAAATATGTAGCTATATATGTTTCAAAAATATTGTCATAGAAATTAGAAATGATAAAGCCCTTGTA